AATGGCCTGGCACAATTTTGAACAAGATGCAAAATAACCACGCTGCTTTCAGTTGCCAAGGTCTTCGTTCTTTTTTGCTAATTTGCAACTGTTGGGCTACTTCTATCTTAGAGTCCTGGATAGACTGCTTCGTATTCCACAGAATTCTAATAAAAAGAAACAGTGTATACAAGCATAATTATTTGTCAATCGATTTTGACTGATATACATCTTATCTACCTTTATAAGCGAGGGTGACAGTGAAGAGACGTAGGGTCTATCGTCTTATTGACAGTAGTGTTATGATATTATACAGAATGCCTAGAATATTGTCTGATCGGGCGTATACTTATCTAAATAAACAGCCGATATCCCTCAGCTACTGGCAACCAACAACTCCTACCTACTGCACCAGGAAATGGAAAATATCTTTCGTTTCTCTCACACGTTTCCGTAGCCTCCAAATTCGGCGTGAGTTTATTCTCTGTGGGATAAGACTCTGTCATAAATCGTTAGATCCCCAATCGCAGCCAGCAGGAATCGTTCTCTTCTTCATGAACGTCACTAACCAATGGAGACTATTTAAGAAAAGTTTGTTACATCTACTGAAGAGCCACCGGACTTTATCTCAGGATACCCAACCGACCTCAGTGACTAACACAAAGTTGAGAAAACGGAATCAATAAGCAAGGAAGGGTGTGTCAGGAGTCTGTGGAAGCGACGAAAACGCAGACTCTAACTTATGCAAAGTCCAGAGGAACTAGGTTAAATGTTGGTTTCCTTAACAACGTAAGTCGTTTTAAGTTATAATTTTCTCCACATTGGCGTTTTAAATCCCCCATTTCTCTGTAGTTACTTCCGAAAATGTACGCATAAAAGGAAGTTGATTACTGTTATGGATACTAGTAATCGGTTCAAGATAGCGGATCGTATAAACAAATCTGAGCACTTTTATCAGTTCTTCCTGTGCGACTTCCCTAGATAAACGGATTTTATCCCACTCAGATATCAAAGTATTGGACTTAGACGATCCTGCGTCAAAAAGAAATAATTTTTAAAGCAATAA